GAGATAGCTGATTTATGGATGGAATATGAAGAGAATTCTACTCCAGAAGCTAAGATTGTTAAAGATTTTGACAAGGTATGACATGTTTGCATTTCTAAATCGGAATTCTCAATATTTAAGTTGAACTAATTGATGCCCCTAGCTATGGACTTAAGTAGTGACAATTCTATAACTTGTTGTCAGTAACTAATACGCTAAGTGCTTATTAAGGGAACTTTGTGGATTAATCTGCTTGCTTCTTTTACATACAGATAGAGATGATACTTCAAGCTTTGGAATATGAAAATGGTAATGCCACGATGTACTTATTCTTTGGTTGTTCCTGAAAAATACGTTTTTTGAATGATTATTTTTAAATCTTTAAATATGAGCAAAGACACAACCTGATTTACAGCAATTCTTTTGGATGTTCTCTTACATATTGATAATTTTTTGAAAATTATTCTGATATTCTGTCCTTTGAATTGCTTCACATTTAATATGCAGTTTCTTACTGTACATCTTTTTCACCAAACTGTTGTCTAGTTGTGCCTTTTTCTATGTTATTATTCAACAGCCTGTTGTAAGCTCTGTGTACCTTGTTGGGTAGTAGCCTTCTAAGTTTGTGGTTTACGATTTTCTGTATTAGATCAAACTTTGTAGGTATTTTTTTTTTTTATTATTAAATCACTCTGTTGATAATGATAGTTTGTTGGTGAACTTAGTAGTAGGTTATTGAATCTGTTTGTCTTACCGTTTTAAGAGATTTGTTATGTTTTCTGTCTTTTGTTGAGTTCGATTTTGATGAAACATTTACCTTACTATTTATCATGGTTTCACGTCAAAGAAGGAGCTTAGGTCTGATCCTGCATATTTATCTTACTATTACTCAAATGTCAATCTGAACCCAAGGCTGCCGCCGCCTCTGTTGTCCAAGGAGGATTGGCAGTTTGCACAGAGGTTACAAGGAGGGAATTCGACCATTGGGGATAGGAGAAAGGTGAATAGGATTGATACTGATGGTGTTGGGAGATCCATGTTTTCGATGCCACCTGGATTCAATTCTAAGAACCAAGAGAGTGAGACTGAGATGGATAACGTGTAGGGTTTTGGAGAATGGGGTGTTGATGGATTGATTGGCAGATACTGGAACAAGCAGTTAACTGTGGCTAAGGAAGCTCAACGTGTAGATATCATGTGTTATAAAATATTCTTGAGTTATAGGCTGCTGGATGGAACTTCCAGATTTGAAGAACTCCATGAATTTATTAAAGAAGCGAAAGCCAAGTTAGAAATTTTTAATGATTGTAGTGAATCTTCTCCAAATGTTGTATTGATTCAATTTTGTATTGTATCACATTTTAATAGTGTATTGATTTAAAAATTTGTAATAAAATTATCAATTTTTATGCAATTCCAAAATTTGTTCACAAAACGTCATTTTCAATTTTGTGGGTCAATTACCATATAAAACT